TGCGGAGAGATAAAGAGGCGCCGGAGAGAAGTTGAAAGTGTAACAGAGTGGCTGACCAAATAAGAGAACGAAAAGGAGCAATCGTTTCCTTAGGGATTTTCAAGGGTAATTCTGTAATCTATGTGCAGAATAATAAAATATTTGATTATTTTCTTCTATTATTTTCCTCTTCTTTTGATCCCATCTCCAACTAGGGATGGCAACAGGACGGGTAAGGGCCGGGTATGACAATATTATCCTCGTCCTCGCTCTCCATTCCCGCTCTCATCCACAAACCCATCCCATCTTCATAGGTTTCGAGGAATTCTCGTCCCCGTTCCCGTCGAGGGACTATCCCCATCCCCCATTTTTTTTGCATAAAAAATATTTATTATACATTTTAACATTAACTTTCATATTAAATTATCATTCGACACATCGAAATTAACTATAAAGTTCAACTCAATTATTCAAAATCACATTAATATGAAATTCCATAGAAAATTAGGAAGAATTAGGAAAGGGACGTTATAACTTAGCGTTAAACATAAATATTATAATTAATTATTTATTTATTTAAATATAAACATATATATTTTCAAGTCGGGGATGGGAACGCCAATACCATCCTCTCCCCATACCCATTGGGAATTTTTCAAGTTTGGGGATCCCCGTACCCGATACCAATTTGGCCCGAAATCTCCCCCAGTTAAGGTCGGGGACCCGCCTCCACATGGATTTTTTCCATCCCTATCTTCAACCCATGAAGCTAAACCCAAAATATCCAAAATTATAGCCCAAAATCTCTCCCAACCCAAGAAAATGAATGAGCCAAAATTTGGGAAAACTCAAACTCGGACCCAAATAGCAGTCCAAGTATTGCCTGGACCCAAAACTATTAATGTATGGTGAATTTGAAGTATTGTGTGTTTTCTTTTAGAATTATGTTGTATGTTTTCTTTTAGAATTATGTTGTGTGTTTTCTTTTAGAATAAAATTATATTTGTGGAATTTCAATTTTTTAAGGTCAAATTGTTCAAAAAAAATTAGTTATGAAGTTATTTAAAAAGATTGAATGAAGAAAAGTTATCTATTAAAAAAAAATTAGACTTAAACCATTCTTAAACAATTTAATAAAGTTGCGGATTCAAAATTTGAGTATGGAGGGTTCGGAGAAAAAACGATTTGAGTCCAGGCAAAACCCAAATAGTTACTTTTTGTAAGGGAAAAATTTGGGTTTAGCCCCAAATGGGTTGAAAAAGGCCTAAGCTGTTTAATTTCATGCCAATGGGGCTTAAGTTGTATACCAGTGGTCTCACAATCGAACCTCCACTACACTTTGGTAGTGTGCGTGTGAAAAACACTCATCCTCTTAGATTATCGCTTGTATTTAAAAATAAAAATTGTTTAATTTCATCAACTACAAATACAATGGAAATAACCACATCAACTCATAATAGAAACAACAAAAATCCGTTTAAAGAATCATTGATGGATTGTTTTTAAAGAATTTAGGTGGTTAAGATTGGAGAGGAGAAACATGGAGACAAACAATTGCAAGGAAGTTTTCGTGTGAAGTAGAAAGCAAGCATCACACAGTATGTCAACATAGTAACAAATCCATCAAATTAGATTTTTTAAGGTCAAATTGTTCAAAAAATTAAATTATGAAGTTATTTAAAAATATTAAATGAAGAAAAGTTAGTCATAAAAAAAAAGAAAAAAGACTTCAACCATTCTTAAACAATTTAATAAAGTCGCGGACTTAAAATTTGAGTCTGGAGGGTTGGAGGAAAAATGGTTTGAATCCGGGCAAAACCCAAATAGTTATTTTTTGTAGGGCTGCACACGGGTCGAGTAGAGCCGGTTATGAGCCCAAACCGTACGCCAAACTAGGCTATGTCAGCAGGCCCAAATGACAAAATGTGCACTTATTTTTAGGCCCATTTTCGACTTACATTGAAACCCGATTTAAGTGAGTCGGGTTGGTTCGGTTCGGATCTCTACCGAGGCCTGTAGGGGACTTTTTCCTCCAGTAGCTGCAAATGGGCTGAGCTGCTATAAAAAGGGCAGACTGATGAAATTGTCCCCTTTGCCTGAATTCGAAAATTAAGCCCCAAAATACCTCGAAAGGGCAGTAGAGCCTTATGAAGTATTTTGGTTATCTTCACCAACCAAAATAATGGCAGCTTACAGATAATTTATGCATGCTTACAGATAAAATTTTAAGTA